GTCTGTCGGGGCCTGTTTGTCTGTCCCGGTGCTGTCACACCCCGGCGGTGGCTCTGCCCTCTCCGGTCCGTGCACTGTCGGGGTCTGTCGGGGCCTGTTTGTCTGTCCCGGTGCTGTCACACCCCGGCGGTGGCTCTGCCCTCTCCGGTCCGTGCACTGTCGGGGTCTGTCGGGGCCTGTCTGTCTGTCCCGGTGCTGTCACACCCCGGCGGTGGCTCTGCCCGCTCCGGTCCCGGTGGTGGCGGCGGCGCCTCCTGCCCGGGCGGGGCGGCCCCGGGTGGGGCGGGGCGGGGCGGGACCGGGGGCACCGGAGGGACCGGGGGGACCGGGAGGGGTGACAGGAAAAGGGGACAGCGGGGGGCCCGTGGCTGCGGAGCCGGGATGGCACCGCGGGGGGACGGGGACAGGGAGCGAGACTGGGACACGGGACGGGGACAGGGATGGGGGTAGGGGACGAGTGACCGGGGACAGGGACCGGGCCAGCCCGAGGTCACCCAGGGCCGGGTGTAAAACTGACACCGCGGAGCAGAAATGTCAGGGCCGGGGCAGGCCCCGGGAGCTATTCCCGACCGCACCCGCACGGCTGGAATGGCGCACAGGGAATGGCAGGGAATGGCATGCGGGCAGTGGCACGGCACGGCGTGGTGCACAGGGAAGGGAATACAGGGAATGGCATGGCACGGCACAGGAGAATGGCATGTCTTGGCGTGGCACACAGGGAATGGCATGGCAGGGCACAGCATGGCATGGGAGAGCATGGCACGGCATGGCACAGCCACTGTGGGCAGGGGGATAGGCGGGGGACAGGGAGGGGACAGGCAGAACCCCATCCTTGTCACTGCCACCCTGCCCGAGCCGTGGCACAACCGTGTCACCCTCCTCCGTGTCCCCAGCGGGAGCCCGGCCTTCGGGGTGTCCCCGAGGTGGCAACAGCCTCCCGGCAACCGCCCGGTGCTGCTCCCGACGGTGTCCCCAAGGCCCCGGGGCGGGGACATCCCCGAGCTCTGCCAGGCGTCGTGGTGTCCCCTGGTGTCCCTCTGTGTCCCCTGCGTGTCACCCTGACTCCAGTCCTGGGGACCCACTCCTGCCCTGGTCTCTCCTGGTCTGCCCCTAACTCCACGCAGCCCCTATCCCTGTGCTCCCAAGACTAGGATACGAGTGCCCATGTCCCCCCGTGTCCCCTCCGTGTCCCCAGGGCCCCAGTCCCGGGGACCCCCATCTACCCCGAGGCTGCTTCCTCCACTCTATCTCTGCCCTCCCAGGAGCGGGATACGAGTCCCCGTGGTCCCTCTTGTCCCCTTTCCCGCGATGTCACCTTTGCCGAGATGTCCCCTTTCCCAGGGTGTCCCTCTTCCGGGGTTATGCCCTTTCCCAGGATGTCCCCCTTCCCGGGGTATCCCCGTTCCCGGAGTGTCCCCCTATCTAGGGATGTCCCCTTGCCCGGCTTCTCCATCTGCCACGCATGTCCCACCTCCACGGGTGTCCTCCTGCCTCTATGCCACCGCCGTGGCTCCCCGCCCCCCTGCCCTCCATGTTTGTCCTGTCTCCCGTCCCCATCGGCGCCGGGATCGGGACACCGGGACAAGGGGGACACCGAAGCGCCGCGGTGACTCCTCCGA